CCTTTCCAAAGCGCATGCTCTCAGAAGAGGTTTGCTTTGACTAGAGTGTAACTCACCACTAAGGGAGTGCTGCTTCCCCAACAAAACATCACAAACTTGCCTTGTCCTTCCCAACCCTGACATTAATGATGATCGTTCCTTACCTTTCTATGTACTTAACACACTGTGGTCCAAATACAGGTTAAATCTCATTCTAGGATAATGGGTCAGTTGGTGAAGGGGTCAAACCCAAGAGCAGCAATGCAAACAGATCTGTGTGGACCTCACAGGCATTTTCTGGAACATGCTCTGAGCTGCCCATACATACAGATCTCTACTGCCCAGGGAAACTTATCTAGAACTTCCCTCCTTGGTTTAGAAGTTCCCCCAGTCCCGTGGCGATAACATATCCGTGCCAATCAGCACGACATTCACCACATTTACCAGTGAGTTGGGCTCTGTTCCTCACCACCAGTGGATCTATCCGCTTCAACGACTTGGCCCAAAACCACAGACCTCAGAGTGGGAAATCTGTTCAGGGCAAGAAGAAACCCTACCTGAGCTCGACAGGCCAGACTTCCTAAAGCCAGGGGGCCAGCCCGGGTAGCAGGGAATAGGCAGGGAGTGCCGTGGGGCTGCCCCCGAAATGGCCAGTGGCTCGGACTGAGTGCCAGGCAATGGCTTTCTGTAGGGGCCAGACCACATCATCCGTCCCTGTCTGATGGTTCCTCTTCTGGAAACAGGGTCAACTCATTTTCTTTCTCCTCTGCCTCCCTCTCCTCCCCCTCCTCCCCCTCCTCTTCCTCTTCCTCCTTCTCCTTCTTCTTCTTTTGTTTTTGTTTAGCAGCCAACTGCTGCTTGCTTGCTTGCTTGCTTGCTTGCTTGCTTGCTTTCTTTCTTTCCTTCCTTCCTTCTCTTCCTCTTCTTCTTCTTCCTCTTCCTCTCCTCCTCCTTTTGTTTTTGTTTAGCAGCAAGCAGAAAAAAATGCCGTCACATGAATGTCTCAGTGTCACCACCTTCAAGGGTGCAGATGAATGACAAGTAGCTAGCCCGCGAGGTGGTTAATTTTAGCCACTTCAGCTGGCCTAGCCTCCGTCCATGCTGTATCCTGCTCCTGTGTCCCCGTGTTCCCTGCTCTAGTGCCTTCTTCTGCTAGTTCTCTGCCCCCATCTGCCCCCCCCAAACACACCTGGCCTCTGAGGGTCCCTGTGAAGCTAAGTGGGGACCCAGACATGGCAAAGCCTTCTTTTCCCCTCAGGGCAGCACAAGGAGGACCAAGGATCCAGGAGATGGTAATGCTTGTTCGGAGGGGTTGCCGCCCCTCCCTGGGGTTCATGTGCTGCACACAGGGCAGCCAGCAGCTGCCGCTGTTCAGGCTGTTCGTCCCCACAGCATCACTGGCCTGAGCGACTCGGTCAGTGTTTTGCAAAGAAACTCTCAACAGGGAAGTAGAGGGGGATCCAAGCACACAGAACCACAGCAGTGGCCAAGTGAGCCTTCCTCACGGGGCCACGGGTGAGGCTGACCTCCCGTGTTCGGGGGATCCCCTCGTCTCCCTTCTTCGCCTGAGCTGCGGGGGGAATCCCAAATAAAAGGCCCCAGTCCCAGGCCTGGGCCTTCCCCTTGCCCACTTCCTCCTCAGGCTGACCCCACTGCAGCCGCCACAGGGGGACTCAAAAGCTTGGTGGCTCCTTCCTCCCACAAGGGACTATGTGGCGGGCACACACATTGGATGGGATTTACCCAGAGCCTGGAACCTTCTGTGTAGGCCAATTCCACTCTTCCTTTTAGCTTAATCTTGCAAGAGGATTAGTAATCATCATCATCAACCAGCAAATATTATTATAACCTTCTATTGTGTTCTCAGTATTGTCCTAAGTTATTTATTTATTTTTAAAGTGTATTTATTTATTTTGAGAGAGAAAGAGAGAGAGAGAGAGAGAGAGAGAAGCAGAGAGAGTATCCCAAGCAGGGTCCAGGCTGACAGCACAGAGCCTGACTCGGGGCTCTATCCCACTAATCATGAGATCATGACCTGAGCCGATACCAAAAGTCAGACACTTAACCAACTAAGCCACCCAGGTGCCCCTGTCCTAAGTAATCTAGACACACTAATTCCTTCAAGCACCCTATGAGGGAGACCATTATCCTCCCCACCGTAGAAGCCTGGAGAGGTCACACAGGTAGTAAAAGACAGAGTTGGGATTCAAACAGAGGCTGTGGCTCCATAGTCTGTGCTCAATCACCATGTTAAGGAGGCAGCTACTGAATGAGGAAACGAGACCAAAAAGATCAGAATCAAGGTGGCATAGAAACGTATCACCTGGTACTTTCTTGATGTTGTCTGGGTTCAGGGGTCTGAGGTTTGGGGGAGCGGTGGAGTAACATAAACAAAGAGCAAAGAAAAACACATACAAACTTATTGATGACAGCTGTGCAGTCACAGTGACTACATCATTACATCGCAGGAAGGATTTGGGGTTTGGGGTTTGATGGTCTTTTCAGCAAAGTTGAGCACGGAATGTTTCAAAGGGGGAAGTGAGATTCTATCACACGGTCCTGGGAGGAAGATACGAATCTGGGAAAGGGAGCTGCCTCCACCCCAGGTGATCTGTCGCTTGGGCTCCAGACTAGAAATGGGACATTTGCAGCCAGACATGACATCCTGGGTCCCGCTGGGGAGGACGTGTGCATGCTTTCTGACCAAGTCCCCAAAGGCCAGGAAGTGTAATTGGGTTGGAAAGACTCGGAAGTGATTACCCCGGAGCCAGGGCAGGGAAGTGAGAAAGAAGCGTGGGACAAAGGAGAAAAGCAGATCTTCCGGACATTCTGTCAGTCCAACCCGGTTCCCTTTTCCTCTGAGAAGCCTTTCCTATGAGCCTGCCCTTGAACACAACTCCCTCCTTGCACTTCCAGAGCACGTGTCGATGTGTAACACACTCAGCACATCACTACGGCCCACCTTCAGCTACTTTTTCCATGCTGGTGTTGAACTTCAAGAGCACAACGGCTATCAGGTTTCTAAAGGACTGCAGTTAACTAGTGCCTGGTCAGGCGAGTCTTTGAACCTGGCTGATGGTGAAACACGCGCCCAGAGTCTGTGCACCCCCAGGCACCTGCTGAGAACATCCAAGAAAGGGCCCAGGTTCTTGGAGAGCAGTAGGGGTCCCAAACAACCTCACCCCTTCTGCAGTCATTAGAAGGCTCTGGTTTCAGAAAACTAGAACCCTCCTTCCTCTTTGGGATCACTACACTTTCTTCCTTGCTGGGCACTGCAGGACAGAGGTCACTGGTTTGCTATCTAAGGTAACAACTCCACATACTCTACCCCCTCACAGACTCCCAGCCTTTCACCAAGATCCAAGTCCCCCGCTTCTGCCTGGGCACATGCCTGGACCACATTTCCCAGTCTCCCTTGCAGTTGGGTGTGGTCATATGACCGCACTCTAGCCAATGGGATGCAAGCACAGGTGACACACCCATTTCCTGCACAAGACCCTGAGCTGGGAGGCTTCCCTGCTGCTGCTGAGGAGGACTCTTGCACAGGGGCAGACACTAGCCTCTTCTGGGCTTAAGCCCTGACACTTTTGTTGTTATTGAGGCAGCTGGCTGATTTTCCCACTTCCACATTCTGCACAGCAGGGACTCTCCATCTCAAGGTCACCCCGTATTGTTACTTCTTTACCCTCTCCTCCCTCCCCCTGAATGAAAGCCCTGAGAGGCTGAGGCTGTGTTTTGTCCCCTGTTGTGGCCCCAACGGGAGAACAGCTCCTGACATAGGGGAGACGCTCAGTAACCGTGTGCAGAACACACAGTGAGTCAGGGTCTCTAGGGAAAGGCCCCTTTAACAGCAAGAAAAGCAACCCGCTTCTGCTTTCTCATCCACATCCACCAGAATATCAGCTTCTAACCGCACTCATACCGACTGGTGTCCCCTTCAGGGCCCAGCCCGTGTCCTCTCCTCTTTGCTGCCCTCCTGGAATCCTTCCCACCCCGATCTGCGTCCTCTGTGCCCCTCGGCCAGGGGTCCTTCTGCAGTCACCCCCTGTCACACTGCACAGGAAGTGTGTGTCTGTGTCTCTCGCACCCCCATCAAGTCCCTCCCCCCTTCTAGACTGGGAGACCCTTGAGGCCAGGGCCTAATCATCTGTGCATCTTCTCAGTGTTGGGCACAAGTGTTTCTTGAGAAACAACTACTCCAGAATATGTAATAAATACCTTAAAATATTTATTATATTTATATGTTATAGAAATATATCATATTTATTAAATACTTCATACATACTTTATTTTCTTTAACTCTTTTCACTCTGTTTCTAAGGGTAAAAAGCTTTCCACACCCCCCTGGATTTTTAAGAGGACCTAAGCGGATGCCTGGAATATTCTATAGATTCTTCTAACTTCTAGGCTTTTTGGATCTTACTACCCGGCATGGTTTGTGAGAGGCCTGGACCCTTTCACTGTGTATCAGTACAAACCGCCCTTGATCAGAGGCCCCAAAACATTTTCCCACGGGGGCCTGCCCTTCGCAGCCCTGTGCACACACAAGTTTTCTGTCTTCCAAAGCGCCTACCCATTTGGCCCTCACAAAGGCCCTGTGACTCAGGCAGGACAGCGACCGTTATGCACATTTGACACGAGAAAACGGGCTCAGGGAGGTTAAGCGACTTGTCCAAGATCACGGTTTGAGTGTGTGCTGAGCTATCTCTAGGACCAGGGGTCCAGACAGTCCCTCTCCTTTCCTTCCGCTTCTCCAGCCTCAGCTAGCAAGAAGAAACTTCACAGGGGCCAAGAGGAAGCCAAGCCAACACGCTGCGACATGGGTGAGCGGAAACACATCGACAGTGAGTGATAAACTGAGTTCACAACAAACCTGGCCAGATGACTTTGGGGGGGCTGAAAGTCCCCCCCCTTCTAATTTTAACCCCCCCCGACCAGGTGGGAGTGTCTGTGGTTACATGGTGTAGCATCTTCTGCTGCTACTGCTGTGTGGTCGGAGGCCAGCACAGGAAGGTACTTACTCGATTTTTCTTCTTTAATGGTGTATTCGAGCACCTCGGATGAGCCATCAGTCAGGGAAGGGAAGTGGACACAGAGCACCAGGTGCTTCAAGCTGCTGTCCCGGCAGACCAGGAACATCTACAACAGAAAGAGGGGAGCTCCATGAATCAAAGATTTGGGTGAAGGTTAGAAGGATAGCAGTGAGCTGGAAGTCATGGAATGTTCCAGAAACAAGGAGGCAGGCGGGGGAGTCAAGCATCCCTCAGAAGAACCGGGGATTCTGCCCTAAGAGCCATGTGTCACATAGCCCATGTCCCCTGGCTCCTGAGTCTCCATTTCCCATATGCCCACGGTGGGGGGAGGGGAGGGGGAAGGTCAACTAAATCAATGTCTCCTAAAGAACTCTGTATTGTAGACACAGAGTTTGGTGGTGTTTAAAATGTGGCTTCCTGTGCACCACCCCGGGATGCTGGTTGGGTGCCTAGGGTTCAGAATTCACTGCTTCTGATATGGGTAGTGGTCCGGCAGCCACACATAGAAAAGCTCTAAGGTACGGGGCAGTCATGTCGATTCTCAGCTCACACCGCAGCAGGTATGCTCACCTCCACCCCTGTCTCCACCTGGGCGTCTACAGCCTCTCCCACTCAGGCCCCAAGCAGCCGGGGCCAGAGCTTGGAAGACCAGAAGTCTGGTCAGAGTTGCTGAGGGGAGGCTGGGGAGCAGGGCCACGGAGGCATCCCCGAGGATGTGGCCCCAGGGACGTGGCCGCAGGCATGAGAGGCTCTTGGGAAGCATTAAGATGGTACCTCTTCCCTTTCCCCACTAAGGCGCACTGTCCTCTCTCCCCTTTCATGACACTCCAAATTCTCTGCTGTTGTTATTATAATTGTTAATAAAACATGCTAATATTGATTAGTAGCAACTGACACACATTGCCTCCCTCATCTGCCTCAGTCTCTAATCCCAGGTAATTAGCTTCCATGATCTCACTTAGTTCTCTCATTAAAGCTATGGGGGGGGGGTGTTCTTATTATTATTATTTAAAAATATTATTTATTTTTGAGGAGGGAGGGGCAGAGAGAGAGGGAGACAGAGAACCCGAAGCAGGCTTGGAGCTGTGAGCACAGAGCCTGACATGGGGTTTGAACTCACAAACCATGAGATCATGACCTGAGCCAAAGTCAGACGCTTAACCAACTAAACTACTCCGGTACCCCTGGGGGGTGTTATTATTATCCTTATTTTATTAAAAAAAATTTTTTTAGCATTTATTTATTTCTGAGAGACAGAGTGAGCCAGTGTGTGAGTGGGCAAGGAGCAGAGAGAGAGGGAGACACAGAATCTGAAGCAGGCTCCAGGCTCAGAGCTGTCTGCACAGAGCCCGATGCGGGGCTCGAACCTACGAACAGTGAGATAATGACCTGAGCCGAAGTTGGACGCCCAACCGACTGAGCCACCCAGGCACCCCTATCATCCCCATTTTAGAGATGAGGAAGCTGAGGTAGAGACAGATAAGTAATGCCCTTCGACTTGGATCCTGGGCACTCCATACCCCTGTACACCCTGCACCCGGCCCAGAGGAGAAGCTGGGCTCCTTTGGGAGCAGCGATACAATGAGCCCATGAGTCACTGACCTGCGGCTGCAAGTCTTCCAGCCCCTGTCCTGAAGCAGGGCAGAGTGAAGGGAGCATGAGAGCCTGGAGCAGATGGGGGAGGACAGGGGAGATCTGGAAGGCGGCTTCTGGGGGTAGAAATGCAGGTGGCATGCTGCCTGCAAATGTGCCCCAGCCTGGAAGGGGGCCTTCCCTAGGGGACCCAGCAGAGGCTGGTTGCCTCTAGAAGCTTGCTGCAGCCCCTGCCCTGCACCCAGAGAGGATGCCTGAGCCCCGTGCACAGCCTCGCCCTACACAGCTGTGGCATCGCTGAACTGACATGCTCACCTGAACCTGATCTGAGCTCAGGAACACACGGTCTTTCAGAGAAAAGAGGTTACCTAGCCTCTTCTTCAGAGGTCCAAGGTCAAGCTGCCTTCCGCCTGGGCTGGATGGGAAGGAGGAGTGTGTGTGGGAATGTGAGGGCGAGTCTGTGGTCGGGGTGGGGGGTGGGTGGCTGCAGTATAATAAAAAGTAGATCTGGTCTTTGTCTCAGGTTCCCGGCACAGAGCACCAAAAACCCTTGGAATTTCCTGAGTGATAAGTGCGTCCTTTATTATTCATAATGAGCCGCTTTTGACTGTACCTGAGTTCACACTAACAGGCGACTCATGGTGGGCCCTTGGTGTCAAAGGAGGGGCTGGCCACAGAAAAAGCAGCCAGGGGGATGGAGGATTGGAACTTCCACCCCACCTCAGCCTCTTTGGGGAGCTGGAGGCTGGATGGCCAATGTGTCAGTTAGTCAGTCCTGCCAGTGAGATAAAACTCCGTGGAGATTTCTGGTTGGTGAACACACAGATGTGTCAGGGGCGATGTGCCTGGATTCCATCGGGGGCGGCGGGAGTGGGGGGTAGGGGAGGGTATGGGAGCTCTGTGTGTCCCTCCTCACCCCAGATCTCAACTCCTATCTGTCTCTGTCACTAGCTGCTCTTGACTCGTGTCCTTTAGAATAAAAGGGTCCACAGAAATAGAGCGCTTGCAGTAAGTTCTCAGAGTCACTGAATTATCAACCCTGAATTGGTGGGGGGGTCATGTTCACAGCCAAGTCAGAAGTGTGGGTAGCCTGGGGACTGCACCTGCGTCTGGCATCTGACTGCGCCTGGCAGTCTTGCTGGGGACCCTGCCCTTTGACGGACGGGGTCTGCACTCACTCCGGGTACTCACAGAACTGGGTTGAATTGGAGGACCCCCCCCCCCATGGTGCTGGAGAATTGTTGTCAGAGCACAGTGAGTGAGTGAGCATGTGCTAGGAGGAGGGGGTGTGGAATGGGCGCACTCTGGGCTGCTGCAGGGCCTCTGGTCCAGAGCTCTGGGGAACAGCAAGTGGGAAGGGAGGCCTGAGCCTGAGCTCATGGTGCCCCTAGGAAGGCCGACAGAGCAAACCTCGACCTTGATCCTGAGCCAGGGTGGGAGCGGAGGCTGGTGCTCTGACCTGGAAACAAGCTGGGCAGCGGGGTGGGGGTGGGGGATTCAATCTTCGTAGGGACACGCGCCCTTTACACGTGTGGTGCATGTGTGTGGGGACACGCGCCCAGGTCCCCTGTTCAGAGGCACATACACATGGCAGGGAGTGTCAGCAATGGCACAGGAAGGAAGGCCAGTGTTTTTCAAACTGTGGGTCCTGACCTGTGGGTGTCAATGCCACCAACTATTTTTAGTTTTTCAAATAAAATAGAAGAGAACAGAAGATAATCAGGATGCCTATAAGAAGGATGAACTGGAGAGTGAGAGAGAGAGAGAGAGAGAGAGAGACCTACAAAGGGCCAGGGCTGAAGTCCCAACATACATTGCTTCCTCTACCGGCATCGCCTTCTTCCTGGACTATTTGGCCCCCACACTGAACTCTCTCTAGGTTGACTGCAATGACAAAGCATGGTCCCCAAATGAGACCTCCTTGACACTGTCCTCCCTGCAGGCTCACTGGCTTTTTCACACCTAGCACGTACTTATTTCTAGATTTCTTCACTCTGCGGACACATCAGCCCTATGCTCCACCCTCGTGTTTACTGACAGAAGGAAAGAAAACTTCTCCAGCTGGGAGGAGAGTCAGTCTGTCACAATCTGTATTTTTCTTGGGCTCCCAGAAGGCCCTGAGCTGCCAGTTATGAGCTCCGTGGCCCTGGGTAATTCTGTGGCTCCCCTGAGCCTCAGTGTTCTGATCTGTAAATGGGGAGAATAACACCAGACTACCCAGCAGGAACAAGAAAGGAGCCAATGCCCCGCCCCTCTGTGTTGGAAGTGACAGAGATATTGCATAGGGTCTGTTGCATCTCCACAGATGCTCAGGAAGAATTCATTCTCCGTTTGCCCCCCCGCACCCCCCCCCAGCTGGTTTCTGTTCTTCTGTCTGGTCTCGGGCTCATCTAGGACTGAGGACTCGTCTACCACATGTTTACTGTGAAAAGGAACCCGGAGGTATTTCTTTGAGAGCGGGGTAGATGGTAAGGAGCCAGAAGTTGGAACAGCGGCAAACACCTGTGCTCTGCGCCACGTTCCTTCCTTACATTTGGCCTCCCTCGGTCTCCCCACAGCCGTGTGAGGCAGGTGCTGTTACCCTCCCCTTCGGCAGGCAAAGACTCAGGGTACAGAGAGGAAAGACAAACCCAAGGCCATGCAGATGGGAAGTGCAGGGGGAAGATGCAGACCAAGGTGTCACCAAACATCTCACTTATTTAGAGCCATCAGGTCTGTGTCATCTGCTCCTTGAGGGGTAGGGGTGTGGGCAGGGGTGGAAAGTCCCCCAGGCTGGACTCTGACAAGTCCCCAGTTCTGAATGCCCAACACCCACCCTTCCTGCGTGGCCACAAAGCCTCACGTAGCACTTCCTTTTATCAAGGCCAAGTCCTGGGCTCTTATGTGAAAAGCCAAGATAAGGCACTGGGGAAAGACTGGGGGGAGGGGGGGATGGCAGAGAGGCTGTGGGCTAGTGGGGCCGTGAGGAGCGAGGGCACTGACAGGGGTCGGCCTGGGCCACTGTCCTTTGGAGGTTTAGCGGCTCAGCTGGTCACAGGATCCCTTCTGGGAAACGGCCACAGACTGCACCGCAGACGCAGTGTCCCTGTGCAGCCAGGTGAGGACAGGCAATCTAATGCATATTATAATATTCTAGATAATGCACAGTGATGCCTGCAAGCCTTCAGGGCTTCGGTGAGGCTCCTATGCTTAGACGCGGCAGAGTCCAGCCAAGGTCAGTGCCGGGAGGAAGACTACCTGTGTGAGCTGTGTGTGCTGTCTGGGAACCCCTCGCCTCCACCCTCACTGGGTGACCACGACTTCCACTCTGAGGAGGTATTGCCCTTGATGGGTGCTGCACATGAGTATCTAGCAGGCCACCCCCCAGAGCTCATTCTCCCACACGCTTCGGGGGGCCTCAGTGCAAATTCTCCAAGCCCCCTTCACCTCTTGTTCTGCGCCCCCCCCCGCCCCAGCGGCTAGCTTTGGAGAAATACAGGGGACCCCAAACCCCAGCTCTGCTACTCACTAGCT